TTTTTTTTTTTTTTTTTTGAGAGAGAGAGAGAGAGAGAGAATGAATCCTGTCAGCATGGAGCCCCACGTGAGACTCGAACTCACAAGCTGTGAGATCACAACCTGAGCTGAAGTCAGACGCTTAACCAACTGAGCCACCCAGGCACCCCTGTCAGCATCATTATTAAAACATGGTTCCTGGCCAAGAGGACACATACTGTGTGGGCACACAGTGGGACAGTTTACCTCCTTGTTCTAAACTGGGGTTGTTAACAGGGGAACTGGGGGCTCAGGGACTGTCAACTTCCTGAAATTATTCATTTTTGTATTGATAGACTTATTTCTGAAGAACAGATTCATTGATTTTTCAAAATTCTCTTAAGGAGTCTGTGACTCTTCAGAAGTTAAGGACCACTGGTTTAGACCCAGTTCTCCCATTCATTCATTACCTTGGATTTTTGGGTGAAATTTTGGGCCATGTCATGTTGTTGGCTTCTACGGAGTTGGCGGTTGTCCGAAATCCCCAGGTCAGGAGTTTCAGACAGATGCTCACAGCGCTAGAAAAGTAACCTAAATGGCTTCAGCAGGCCACTGTGCATCCATGTGTATCCACCGGGCGAGTAAATGCCCTATCTAAAGGGGACAGCCACATCTCTGTTCTAACCAATTGTTGTCATGTCTGAATGCACACCTGGAGATGCCAGACCTATCAGGTTTTCAAGAGAAGCCGGAAATCCGGATTTTTGTGCGACTCTCCACATTTTTCAGTGTTGGCTTAGTGTTTTTCACAAATACTGCAAAGGCCAAACAAAACACATCTGCGCCAACAGTTCGCAACATCTGCCCCAGGGCTTTTTTCATATGAACTACTTTTCAACTTTCCTCTGTTTGTTTAAGAAATTCTTTTGAAATCAAGTGCTGAACTTTATGTTGTCCCCCCCATTTCATCTTGCTAGTTTTGCTTGATTGCCCCAGCCAGCTGAGACCTTTTGGAATCTTGATGACTTCCCCTTTTTATCATTAGCACATTTGCCAGACAAATTCTATGTCTTGGCTCACGTTGTAGACGAAAAGGTTGAACAGGATGGGTTCATAGCCACGTGGCATGCTATTAGA